TCGAAAGCGGGTTTCCCAATTTCTGCGAAATTTGAAGCGGAATTATTCCACCATCTGCTTGACCAACTCTCCTTTCTCCTTCTCTAACAAAATCTGACAGTTCGAGAGAACATTGAGTTCTAGGCATGTTGTAGCACAAGATAATTAGTGTGCGGACCATTTTCATTTATATAGTGCTCTGTGAACACAAATTAGTTAGCATAAGTCAGTTAAATGACGAAAAATTAGGTGTATATTTACTTGTGACCACTCAGTGTATATAATAAGTTAACAATACAAAACAAAATATATAATAAAAGTACAATAATATAAAATAATATTAAAAAGGTAATGAGATTAGATACATTCAATGGTTTATCCGATACTGTTATTGACATACTAATAAAAAATCAGTATAATATACCTCACTTAGGGAACACACAAAAATTAGCTTTTGGCTTCAACTACTGTCGTAGAATTAATTTTCTTTGTAAAACGTAACGTCAGACCAACTGCCTGAATTTTCTTCAGCTCTCCTTAATCACGTCTTATGTTCAAGGAAAATCTATTCAAACAACACTATCATTGTAACTTTAGAGGAGCGTGGCGTCAGGACAAATTACTCTGATGTTTACTTTAGACTGTGTCGAGTCGTAGTAGAGAAGTTACTGAGAGTACAGCTAAAAACTAATGTCTATGAAGATACAAAATGGTAAATAAGAAATTTTGTTATTGGATTAAGAATACCTAAATAAAGACATTTTCATATGTATAAGACATGTTTTTTTCCTTGCCATAATCCATTTTAAATTAACGTGTTAACCAGTAACTAAAATAGTAATTTTCAGTAAAACCATCTTCATCAACTGTTATACAGAGAGTTGACTACATTTTATTAAAATGTTTTTGAAGACTCAGATCGTAAAGTCACAACAACAGCTGATATAAGGTCGTGGTAAAACGACATGTATCAGAACTACATTTTGACATTCTTTGGCATTGTACAGGTAATGTGATGCCAACGAAAACTGGTCGTTTTGGTAAGGGTATATAACAGTCTTTTCCCTTGTACTTAATGGTACTGAAAAAAAAAGATAAAGTTGTGGCACCAGGACCACCAAAAAAAGACCTAGAACAAGTAATATCCCAGTCATGCTAAGTCAAGTGCGATGTTTTGTAACAGGCAAGAATTCATGAACACAAAGGTCAGTATCAAAAACCGCCCACGTGCCCCAGACAACGAACGCAACTTAATCAAGAAGGATTTCCGTATGGAAACGAGCTAAGATACGAAACGAGCTCTTGTTCAACCATTGTATACTTCAAGTAGCTAAAGAAATGAAACACTGAATGGATTTTGGAAAACTTGGGTGTGCTTTGGACATGAAAGTTTTATGACGGAGTCATTTTACAATGAAAACTTGCTGTAGAACTACTTTCAAGGTAGAGATTGACCAAACGTGGCAACATGGATTCTAATGATGTAGTGAGACTCAAAATCGTTTTATTATCAAGTACTCAACTGTCTGTATCACGATTTTTATTGTCATACAAAAGTCCTGGTGTCATAACAACACGCCACAAATCAGCAGTCATGAAAGTTTTTTTTTCCTAATTATTTGTATAGGACTGTATATGTACTCTTTCGAACAGAGAGCTAATTTACAGTAACTTCATTGTCGTTTAACTCAGAACTGTTCAAAATTTCTGATGCTGAAGCCCCAAACTTTTCATTACATTAAAAAAAAAAAGATATGGAATCTAGCTTTCATTAATCTCCACTTGTATCTTTGTATTTTTAAGGTTCCAACAGGTATCAAAATCTAATTATTCAATGTTTTAGAATATAGAAGAGGAAATTATAAACTGTGAAAGAAGAAATGTTACCCCGAACAACTTTAAAATCATCGACGAACTTCGAAGTGGAGGTTTTATTTTTCTTTAGTTAGTGATTTAAAAACAAATCTGAGAGGTAAACTTGGCGCATGAAGTCTGGCACTCAGAGTAAGAATTTACGAATTTGTTAAATATGTTTAATTCATTACTTTATATTTATGGTTGTTCTTTTCTTTTATTTCCAGTTCGTAAAGAAAATGAAGACATATTCCGAATTGTACCTTCCACTATGTCACCATATGGTAATGTAGACAGTACCAGTGTCAACCAAACATCCAACGTCACTGGACCACCCGGATAATCACATTCCACTGTTTGTATGCTTACTAGTGGGCAGTTTTAGTGACAGCTTAATGTGTCAAAAGCATTATTAATAGCAATAAGGTTTTGGAAAAAGAAATAGAAAAACGTGAAATAAGATATTCTCCCACTTGTCAAAACTTTTTCTAAGTAGCCTGACTGTCAGGATTTTAAAATAATTTATTACCACTTTATTTCAAAGGAAACTCGAGCATTTGCCAAAACATGGAAAAAAAATGATCAAAATGTAGTGGAATTATCCGTTAGGCTAGTGTTCTTTGGTGCCTTGTGCATTTAAAATTCTGTATAAGAGATATTAGAAATCAGATTTATCCAACGACGACTTAATCAACAATGAGGGAAAATTGTTTGATGCTATAGTCATGTGTCTAAACAGTTTGAGCACGCGGTTCTTCGTGGGATAATGAGTTTTCAAAGCTGACATCCCAACCTTATATATCTATACACTATATGTACATCCTTCTTTTACAGTATTTTCATTCCACTTAATCGTAGTTTTGCTGTAACCTTACGTATTGTGTTTACTTCGTATTCTATTGTTGTGCTGTTTTTCTTCTTTTCAAATATCGGTAAATAATTTTGTTTACACGCTAAATTTGTACGCATACCAGAGAAAAATACTAATCTTGACTGACTGCATAAAGCTTTTCAAAATCCAACCTTCTTTAAAGTGACATTATTACAAATAATTTACATACATAAGTTATATAATAAAAAAAGAACAATATTAACAGTTAACAATATTATTCTACTTAACACAAAATAATACACAAAAAAGCAGAAAGATAGAGTTTGTTTTTGTACAATAACTGTGGTATTACCATTTCATACTTATTTTATAGAAAGATATTGAAAATAATTTTAAATTTTCTGCTTTTCCTTCATTTCAAAAACTATATTTTCATTAAAAAAGTGGAAGTTACAGAAGTTAAGCAGGAGTGTTAAGTATAACGTTGCAAAAAAACCACCATGTTTTTCTTTTTCTTCAAGATGTAAAAGATGCTTTGGCAGCGCTTTTCTAAGTGTCGATAAAAATCTAAACTTTACATTCAACTAAATTAATCTTCTGTGCACAGTGTTATCGAGAAATGTTTGGTCAGCACACTTCTAAATAACTTTATAGGCCAAAGAAAACATGGTAATGTATTCGCAGCCACTTATCCTTTATTGAAAATTTTGCACTGTAACCATTTATGTGAGCATTACTCTGACAAAAGTTGCTTTAAAATCAAACATCCACAAATCTGTCACTGAAACAACTTTTACCGAAAGAGAGAAAAAAAAACAGAGTTGAATATGAAATGTTTAAAAAGATTTAAGAATTCATAGACATCGGGCAAGGGGGGGGGGAGGGCCTAGGGAGCCTCTTATGTCTATTTAAGGGGACATGGGACATCACCTGCTTCTACCCTTCCATAGATTCGATAGGTTTACGATTTGCTCAACTTAGTTTTTTACCAAGATAATGAATCATCATAAACAGATAAAAATTCAAATAAATTTTACAGCTAGAGGTAGAGTCAAAACGATAATATGGATATCAAGGTGAGAAATAGAAGGTGATGAAAACTGGCCATGAAACTTCTTATTTTCATAGTGATATCCCTTGTAATATTTTTTCCTTGATTTCCATCGTATACTGGCCCCCACTGAATCAAAATAATCCCAAAATTGGCATTCTACATTTTCCGTAGAACAGTGCTCCCGAAGTCCTCTAGTTTTAACTTGTCTAAGGCTTCATTCCCTCCCACAGACAACATCTATGGAATTATATATCGATTGTGGGGTATGCATGAGATGTATTATGTAACAGTTTTAGATAAGCAAATAATTAACAGGCAATTCTAGTTCTGTGTATCTACAGATAAAACTGTCTTATCACATAAGTATCGAATCAACATTGAAGTAGCTGAACATGATAAATAAGTTACCAATGAAATTTATATTCATTGGGAAATAAATGATGTTCTCAAACTCTCAGATACTTCGCGAACACTTTTATCTAAAGTGAAGTTATATCAGTTTAACTAATTGATATCATGTACACACATATACTGTTTTCTGTTTTTTACCGATGGTGAAGAAGCTGCTAAAACATTAAGTTAAAATGTTAAAACTACTTTAAGTGGAAAACATTATACTCTTTAAGTTTGTTTTTAGACTCATAAAAATAGCAATTATGATTTACAAATGTTTCGGTTAAGCAATCAGAGTAAAACTGCCTTTCTATACTACAACACATTAACAAATCTGTATGTAATTTGTGCAAGATATTAAGCAGCCTGTAAAAATCATTATACACTGGACAAATTCTGAAAAATAGCTTCTAAATGTTAATCGAATACTGTAAACAAAAAGTTTTTACCCGTATGTTTCATTCATTTTTTATAGCGTTATCTTATTAACTGAATAAACATTTTCATTAAACCGGTTAAATTATTAATCGAAGTGTTCTAAAATTATTCCTAGTGTCCAATTTTTTCATGTCATGCTGCCTTAGATTGAACAGCAGATCTTGTCAACTTCAGTAAAAAGTAAGTAATGGAAAACCAATAATGTTTTCAGGCGTAACTGGAAATATCTATTGGAGCACGATTTTATATAAACAGAAGTAGATCAGAAATCAGCCATGTATATGATAGCTTTGCCATTCTCAGTGTTTAGCATTTTAATGACAGTTAATAAACTAAATATAAAAGCATGTTTGCTTTAAAAAATACATGAACATAGATACATTTAGTTTCTAAGTTTACTTAAAATATTCTATATCACTTTAGATGCAAGTTCTTTTTTAATTTTTTAAATTCTTTTTCAAGTTCTTGGGTTTGAAGTTTCATATTAAAAATAAAAATGCACTTATATTAAAAGGTTGAAGATGTAATTGAAATGGACATGTCAACACTTTTGCAAAAATAATCAAATATTTAATATACAATCACATCTATTAAAAATTAAACTTGTAACTACTAAAA